GAAACTCGTAAGTGTACGAACACTTTAGGGAACCACTACATATTGGTGTGAATAAGGAAGGAAACATTTTAAAGATGCACTTTACGAACAATGTGTACTTTTTATTGGTGCCTTATCCTTTTTTAATCATATTGTTAACAAAACTGTACAAAGAAATGCTAAATTGTTTAACTAGATACTATGACCGGTAACTACAATTTAACACAATATCTGCAAAATTATTGGTTTTCGTACATCAAAATAAAATTAGATGAAATGAAATCATTTCAGAATTTTTTACTAATGTAAAAGGAATTTTTTAATAAGGTTAAATTTCTAGTAACACTGAAAAGAGGTTCTTTTAATTAAAGAAAATAAAATTGTTTTTTTGTTTTCATAGATCAAAATAATAGAGAATTAGTATAAATATGTCAGAAATGTAATAAATCATAGTACATGAATTTTTCCTTAAATTATAATTTAATGTTCGTTCTTAAAAAATACGAGGGCTATCCAGAAAGTAGATTACGTTTTGGAATAAAAAAATAAACAAAGTATAGGAAACAAATTTTATTATATACAGATGAAAGCCACACTCAAATACTACTTTTCTACATAGTCACCATACAAATTAAGGCATTTATCGTAGCGATGTACGAGCTTGGAAATTCCTTCGTCGAAAAATTCGGCCGCCTGCGCCTTCAACCACTTCGTTACCTCTTCTTGCCTTCCATCTTGCACAAAACTTGTGGTAACCAAGCTTTTCGCTGATGATTTCGTGCAACAAACTTCGCGAAATTTGTGGAAAACTCAAAGAAAGTTCCGTTATTGTGAAATTTCGATTTTCACGGACTTTAGCATCGACTTTTTCGAGAAGTTCGGCGGTCACTATGCTGGGTCTCCCACTTCGATCTTCGTCGTGAACATTGGTTCGGCCATTTTGAAATCTTATGACCCACTGACGCACTCCACCTTCAGTGATAATGTTGTCCCCATACACTTCACGAAGCTGCCGATAGATTTCTATCGGTTTACAGTTTTTTGCAGTCAGAAACCTTATTACTGAGCGCACCTCGCAGCTCGCGGGATTTTCAATTAACGCAGACATTTCAAACCGTCACAGTATCTGAACGGAGCACAGCACGAACCTCTCACTAGCACGGCTAGATGCAGACTGAGCTGCGCAACGCTCTGACCCCAAGATGGCCGCGCTAGCCCCGCCCCTAGCGGACACAGACGGAAACGTAATCTACTTCCTGGATGGCCCTCGTATAAAACACTGCAATAGATCATATGTAATCAAGACTCACACTGATTCTGCAAGAATATGTTCGTCACACTTCAAGGATCATGATTACTGTTCACCAAAGATGCGATATTTACATTCCTGTGCAGTGCCTACAAAATTTGAACAAACAGGTATCTACAATTTTTTTATTGAATAGGCTTGTGTGTTTAGTACATTTCATGTTTGTACTGTAAAAGATTCTTACATATTTCTACTATATGTCTAAATTTCTTTTAATAGATATTGAAGTTTCAAAACGAATACGATTGGACTTAGGAATGTTACAAACTAACTTAAGAAAAAAATTACAGTCAGAGGAGTCCCATTCAACCGTAGAGAAATTGGCTGAAGATCTAGGCCAAACATCCTGTGATGCAGAACTAGCTGTTGAACAAGATGAAGCACTAATATGTATGGGTAAGGTTTGTACACCTAAGAGCCAAAGATAAGAAAATTAACAAACCAAGTTTCATATTTAAAAAGAAAGTATGAACGCACAAAAAAGAAGTGCTGCGTAGATGATATACTCCATATGATTCGCCCAATGGTTAAGTTTAGTGTATACAATTTTATTAACACTAGAACAGCCGAATTTCAGACTAACCGAAAACTGCCATTGGGGGTCAATTTGACCCTCATAAGAAATGTAAGTAGAAACACAGTAAATGATGCTGATGCTAAAATGACCACATAAAAGAGTTTTTAGAGGTTTTTATTTATTTTTTATACTTTAAAATTTCTTTCTGTGCAATTAGTGCAAATTAAAATTAGCACACAATATCTTTCAATGTAAGATAACAAAAACAAAATCTATGAAAACAAGCAAAAGATACAAATGCAAAAAGTGAAAAATAGAACATATGCAAAAAAATACAAAAAAACATAAATTGGGAATAAACACACAATGTTTTCCAAAGTTTGTTATACATTACCGCAGGTGATACAACATGAACGCTTGACAGTTACAGCAACAGATTTACCACAAATTGGTTTATGGCATCCCTCACAGCTAACAACAGTCTTGTTTTGTCCCTTGCAACTTTGACATGCACATTTCTTTCGTTTAAGTGTCTGTATTTGAGCAATCGGGGGGCATCTGTTGCGTAGTGCACCAACTCGTAGTTCTTCCACGAGTGCAAGAATAAATTCTCGGCGGGAAATAGGGGTGCCCAAGGATTCTTTGAATATAATCCAAGCATTGAATGCAGCAATGTCAAGGACGTTGTAAAAAACATGTACAGGCCACCTGCGACTTCCACTACTTGTACTATATTTCCTCAGCATCTGATCTGCGACATCAACGCCACATTTTGTACTATTGTAGTAAGTGACAGTGTTTGGTTTTTTCTTTATGCTGTCGTCAACAAACACATTACTGTGCATCGTGCTCAGAATCACGACATTCTTTTTGCTCTTGCACCTATATATTGTGAGTGTTTTGTCTACCATTTTTTCAGTGCAAAAGATGAATATCGTGCCGAAGAAGTGTCACGAGCAATAGGGGGTAATTCTCGCTTATTCAGACGCATCGTCCCGACAATTGTGGTTTTTTTTCGCAGAAAGTTCATCTGCAAGTTTCACAGAAGTAAAAAAAATTGTCAGTTGTGACATTGAGTCCGGAGTTAGTTTAAATGTGGTTGCAGTAATTTGAGAACTACACTTTCCCCAAGTTGTAAATTAGTTGGTCGTTCTTCATCCTTGCCCAGATAAGGATAACCATTCAAAACATATTTGGATTTTACATCAGTTGCTAGCCAGAATTTGATGCCAAACGCCAAACTTGTCCAGGTTTATTCGCCATGTACTGGATAAATCTACATCTTGATTTACAAGGCAACAATTGTTCATCAACGGTTAATTCTGGTTCAGGATTATTGCATAAATACCAGTTTTCCATTAGCTTGTACCAAGTTTCAGAAGCGAGAGCAAATTTGTTAGTGGCGAGACGATCAGCTCTGGTGCTTCGGACATCGAATCTGAGATACCGCATTATTTCACGGAACCGATTGCGTGACATTGTTTCTTTGAACACAGATGGTGCCCAATTCTTGTTCCACAAATCATCTGCACGAAGTTTTGAATGGCCTAGTGCTCCACGGGCATACAGGAAGGAAAAAAAGGCATCAAGGTCTTCCAGAGTAACATGCCAGTTATTATCATCTCTAAGTTGGCGTTGTGCCTCAGCAACTGTACATGATTGAACTCACCATTGATTCACTCACCATCAAACACCACACTGAAGCAGGATTTGTTCCTATATTACGACGTTAGTTCACTTGCAGTGGTTACAATATTTCGAGCTGGCGTGCGACCTGAAGTGGAAGCGGTGCTGCTAAGCTTCATAGGGGGTCCAGAGAATACTGCTGGATGAAATATACTTCTCATTACTGCTGCCAGCAACGTTGTTGCCTCGTCCTTGACCACGACAACGTCCACGTGAGCTTCCGGCTTCCCGCATAGGGATCACATTTCCAGAATTGTCCTCGACATCATTATCACTGCTTTCAGAGAGCAAAGCATTCTGTAAGTTCACATCAACGTTAAAAGCTTCATCACTGCTATCATCACCACTTATATCTGATTTCAACTGTTCAAGGAGGGCAATGCACTCTTGTGTACTCAATCCTCTTCCTCTCGGCATTGCAATGGAGAGAGAATATGCTCCATTCTGGATTTTATTTTTCTTCCCTGGGTCATCGCAATAAGAGCTGCGTGTTTCCCAATGCGCAGAAAACGAAAACGTGGCATCGGGAATTCGAAAACAGGACATTCGCTTAAAAATATGTCGTTTTTCTTATGAGGGTCAAAATGACCCCATTTGGCTGTTTTAGGTATATCTGCGATTATTTATTTAAATAATTAACATAGAAATATGAAAAATTGACATAGTATACTTGGAAACATTTTAGAAAAAGTAAAAAATATCAGCTTCAAAGCTCAACTGCATGTTAAAAAAAAAAACGCGGAAAATTGGAAAAAAAGGTCAAAATGACCCCAACGGCGCTTCTAGTGTTAAAGGGCAGTTAAAAGCATCCTCTGTTTCAAAGTATGGACGATGTTGGTCTCTGGAGGACAAAAACTTATGCCTCCAGGTTATACTTAATAGTCCTAAAACTTATAATGTATTAAAAGCTTTCTTACATTTACCAAGCAAACCGACACTTCTAAAAGCAATTTCAAACATTTATCTAGAACCTGGCTTCTCAGCTGGTTTACATTGCGTCTATGGAAGCTTTCATTCTTCTCCTTAGAGATTCTTTGGTACCGGTCTGTACATACTCCGTGGTCTGTACTGTGATCAGTTACAAATAAACATGCGAAAATACGAAAGGAGACTGAAACACCCGAGTTGGAATAAAAGATCTCAAGTTCAATGAAATCGTGCTCTATAAATAAATATGCGATTAAATTCCGGAGATGTTTCCGAACAAATGAATGGTTTCAAGAGGTGAAAAATAATTTATCCTTTATATCGACTACTTCGTGTTTATGAGTTCATAGTAGGTTAATTCTGAAACAAAATATGCTTATTTTTTTTAATTAAAGTTCAGAAATTATTTTTGCATCTGCATCAAAGGAGAATCATTGCCCAAATGAATTTTTTTTTTTTTTTTTTTTTTTTTTTTTTTTTTTTTTTTTTGTTGTTAATGAGCTGGTTAGTAATTTATTCCTCCATTCACACTAAATTGTTGGGAAATATTGAAAGGGTAAATTCCAATTCACAAGGAATTGCTGAAATAAATAAATCTTTTCAAAAGTATGTGCATCTTCTTGCGATCTAAATTGAATCTGCCATCATTACATGGTATTGGAAACTTTATAGTCATATATTTGCTACGAAATGCTTTTTCTCCTTCTCCTAATTCATTTAATTAAAATTATTGCATCAGGTATGTTTGGTATGTTTTTGGTATATTTTTACAAGTACACTTTGCTTTCATGTGCAACTTGCTTTTTTTTATTGTCATTTACTCAGATGTCAAAAATTGTTCTTAGCGTTGGAACATTTTATGATCATTTGGTAAAATTTATATATATATATTATCGCTTGTCTACTTATGGTTCTGTGTATTTGTCATGTATGCTTGATGTGAACTGCAGTTTTTTAAAAATATGCCACAGATAGTAAATTCCACCAAAAAGTTGAAACTGGGATGCAGATAATCAGAAAGTATCTGCCATGTCTTTTGAGAGAAAACCACACCTGTAGTGCCAAGAATGGGACCAATATGTTCATGCTTGTTTTTCTAGTCTTTTTGCCATTATCCAGATTGAATTATCTCTTGTGGAAAGGAAATGATTGTGTTCCTGTGTATGACATTAAAATATCTGTCTGATCAACTATCCACCAATAAGAAACTTTCCATATTTTCTGTGACAGACTTTCTGCATACAGAAGTCCTAAGCTCTGTCCTTGTACATGTTTTTTAAAAATCAGAATTCAAATGTGTAGTTCTCAAAGAAATTCTTCTCATAGGAATACATTACATTTACTGACAGTAGAACATTTAAAATATATAATTTACTTTTAGGTGAGAGCTTCCTTTTTTCATGTTTGTATTCATTACTGCATGATTTGCTATTTGAATTGCTTCAAGCTATAAGTAATTTTTGTTAATATTTTTTCAACTAATTACTGAATGCCTGTTTAGATCAACATATCAATGATGGGACAGATCGAGACGATTAAAATCGAAGACAGGACAGAAGAGGCTACTGCAAACAGATCCAAGTTGTAAATCCATCCGCATTTCAGATTCTCAGTCCTGTTGTAAAGTAACAACATAAAGTCAAAAACATTATAAGTATAAGAGTTGTAGCTCATTAGCAGCAAACATTGTTAATCTTGCAATGAATATATGAATGATGCTTCCAAACTCAGTGAATGCAAATATTTCAGTGAGCAAAGAACTAGCATTTGCGGGATGTTGATTATTGTAATTTCATTTTCATTTGTTTATGACTATGGATGAATTAAATCAATATAATTGTTGTTATCATAGGTCATACTTTTGGCATGCTTCCTATGTATCTTAACTGTTGAAAAATATATTGTCGAGATTCTGTACATTTAAAAAATATACTCCCTTTTGTATTCCTACATTTATTAATTGGAAGGAATTTCATTGGCAGAGCCGTCTAGTTTATTTACAGAAATTATATAGATATAAATAACACATTTTGTAACTTTTCTAAATTCTTATTATACAGCATGATTTAATAGCTACACAAGGTATGGGCAGAGCAGTATACAGTAATATCTGTTGCACTTTCTGAGGTCAGTGGTAGTCATACATAGCTTAATTCTTAAATTTGTTATTTATTCATAATTCGTTTAAATAATGTTATGGCAGTTTATTTCTTTCATTCTTAGTTTTGGAAGTAAAACATTTGACTTTTCTAGGCCAGAAGTTTTAGCTAATGTTCCCAAGACAACCCAGGCTTTCTTGAGGTAAGTTGGTTTAGTTCTAAAATAGATATTGGCTGATGCATGATATTGAAACTCTTACAGTTACTTAATTATGGTAAACTAATTGTGGTTCTTTTCTTCTCAGCTCTCATCCGGACATTTTAGTTGTTGACTCTGGCATAGAAGTTAGAAATACAAGCTGTCTTTTGGGGTAAATATGTATTTCTCTGTTGCAAAATTAAAATGTCATCATATTAATGCACTTCCTAACCAACACACACCGCAAGCCCTTACATCCCATAATTCAAAATTTACCACAGGCATGGCAACCAATTATGTCATAATAGAGTTTTCATAACGTTCAACTACTCAGGTTACGATAAATAAAACGACTTTGCAATATAATACAAGGGGTACCCTTCAGTCCACTCTAACCGAGAATTATATTGCAGGCTATCTTAAATGGATACTTTCTGATTTGAATATAGAGTAGAATTGCTGTGTTTAGCATATTGTTGCGTTATTTTCTTCCTTCACGTTCATACGGGGTTTGTAGATTTCGAGTGAATAATGACGACACTTGATGAAGTATCAAAACACATTTTATTTAGCCAATATTAATCAGGACAGCTCCAATAACACTTTTTACAGTCGTCGAAGATCTACTTTAAACAGGCTGGAACAATCAGTGACACAGCCTTCACACTGTCAGGCGATACCGGTGGAGACAACTTCGCTGCAAAGCTCCCGACTCTGCCGGTCTTTCTCAGAACTTCACGTAATCTCGAGACTCTCTACACTACAACTCGCGATGCACACGAGCACAGCTCCCGACTCTTCGGTTCAGTCATTCTCGGAGCTGAACACGCTCTCTCGACAATGCACTAACCGCGATATACTACGAGACTCTTGCGGTGCACTCGATGACCCAGTCGGCACTCGCTTCTTGGCTGTCAACTCGATTGACTCGCTAGACGAGACACCAACTCAATACTAACTCGCACTCTATACGAGGCACACACGCTCTCTCTCTCGACGAGGCACACTCACTGACTGTGGACCAGCAGGGTTTATATAGCTTTCGGTTTGTGTTCGAAAACATTCTCAGCTAAACCGGTAAGAACTCGTTCCAGATGGTTCTCCATCTGTCCATGGTATATCGCCAAATGGACGATTTCTTGCCAAACTGTGGCGACCCTTCCCTCCTTTGCCATTTTATGGCAACCCTAAAACAGGGTTCGTACAGTCCTTAAAAGTCCTTAATTTTGGCCAAACTTAGCAGAAGGTCCTTAATTTTAATCATCAGAAATTTCTTTCTGTTTTTATGACTCATTTTGAGTGTGAATTGGCGTGTTTGGGGGAATATTTTTGGCGATTCACTGATATATATGGTTATTTTTTGAATGGGTTCATGGGTTATAATTTGTTTCTATTTTTAATATAAATGATGTTTGCTTGTTTGCTTGCTTGAGTTTCTAAGCAAGAAGTGAAACATAAGCATTTTGAAATTCATTTTTTCTAATAAAGAGCTTTTAAACAATTTTTCGCTCTTGGGATGTGAATTCTTTTATTAAACGGTTCTAAATTTGGCGACTTATCAATATTTTGGCGATTTTAAGATCAGTTTCTATAAAAAAATTTTAATTCCAAGATCTGAGAATTTTTGCGACGATTTTTTTAGAAATATCATAAACATCATATATCATTATAAACATTGATAAATTTCATTAAAATAATGGTTTCAGATATGTAATATATTGTATATTACAATTATATATAAGTATATTTAAAAATAACATTAAAATAAATCATTTTTATTTTTCTCAGTCATATAAAGTTTCATTTTGGCAACTTATTATACAATATTTTGAATCTGAAAAATAAACAAGGTATAATGCTCTAAAGCACAATTTACGAAACAGCAAAGGCAAAATTAGCTATGTAATTAATTAAAAATATCTTTTTTTCAATTTTTTCATAGTAAGAGTTTTGGCTAAAGTGCAGAATCGCCCACTTATTTGTTTGGTGCTTTTTACAAAAGTAAGAAGAATTGGATTTTTGTCAATTTTCTTTGACTTCTTAAGTGAAAATAGGTCGATGTGTACATGGATTAAGTCAAGGGAGTGCGCAATGCCATTTTTGTGCAATTCTGGGATGTTTTTAAGTGAAAATAGGTCAATGTGTACATGGATACCGAGTATGTGTAATTCTTAAAAACGTGCCAAGCAGCGGGCGATTCTGCACTTTCCCCAGAGTTTTTCCCATGTAATTGTCTCAGAATATGCATGTTTTCTCTATAAAATTGATTTTTACAATTTTTCCCCTCCTTTTTTTTTTTTTTTTTTTTTCTAAATTATTTTTGGCTTTTTGCTGTTACAGAAGTGGTAGGGATAATTTTTCTTTAGGATTTTAGACATTGCAGCTTGGAAAATTTAGAAGGATTTGAAGGCAAGATTTATAGACCCACGATTCTAGAAGAATCGAAAAATATATGACAAAATGAAAAATGTCTCCATTGTATCAACACGAAATGGATGTATTATAGAGAATGTTTGCAATGAATTTCTTACTTTTTGGAGAACGTCTGGAAGAACAATGAATACATAATATTTGAATGTTTTACTTCTGATACTAGAGTCTTAATATGTTTATGTAACCTTTTATTTTCTCTACTTTTCACTAGACTCAAGCGTGGAAAATATCAAAAATGCTTCTAATCTTATCACATGAGCAGGCATTATGGAAAGGGATTTTTTTATTAATAAAGAAATTGAAAACTTATAATTTAAAAGATTCATCTAATATGTTTTAGTGCATCATACACATAGCTGGCACTAGGCATTTTCCCATTTGATGCAATCTTTGTGGATCCTAAATTCTGCTGCCTCATGACTTTCTAAATTCTGCTAGACAAGCAGTGACAACATTCAGTCTTTTGTTATGAATCATGCTGATTATGATCTTACTTCTCATTTTAACCTATGCTGTTTGAAATAAAATGTACCTGCTACTTACTAAACCACTAGACTGACTAAGTATGTGAGAAAATGAGAAATTAAAAAAAAAAAAAAAAATCAACATAAAGCTGACTGTTAGTAAAACATAAATGTCACTTATCTTCTTTCAGATATCTCCAACTATTGTAAGTGTAAAATATTTAATGCTACTTGATAAATTGCTTAACGTTTATTTTATTCTCAAACTTATTAGTAATTATGTTAATTAATTCATTAATGTTTAATTAATTTCATTAATGTTTAGTAATAATGCATACTACTTAGGAATCTATTTTATTTTTAGGATGGTATTACAAAAGTGAAATTCAGGCATAGATAATATTTTTAATTGAATTTTATTCAATTCCCATTTGCTCATAGGTTCTTAATTTTTTCATTAATAGTCCTTAAAAGTACTTAATTTTTGGTGCAGAAATGTGTACGAACTCTGTAAAACTGCTTTGCAGGGAAGCCATCTTACTATGTCTGTACATTTCGTAACAATATTTTCGAATGTACGCATGACAATAGCTGAACTTTTGCATGCACATGCTCTTCGTGTATTTGAGTACATATGGATTTTGCTGATCAGTATTAAGTACTTGCCAAATACATTTTTTCGTCATAATGATTTGTAATGGAACAATTTAGTTGAACAACTCATTAAAAAAATTTTTTCCCTCAACAGTACAGAATGCAAAATCTCGATAATTCCAAAACTTTTATTCTTGGTGATATGATCGTTTTATGGTTTCAGATTCATCTATTATTCCTCTTAGAGGCTGGTTGTCATTCAGATAAATATTTTGTTTTTGCGAAATATTTTTTATACTCCAGATGGCAAAATGAAAATATTATTTAACAAGAGTTTACATATACAGTCAAAAGTCGTTAATTCGGACACCCATAATCCGGAATGATCTATAATCTGGACCTCAAAATTACAAACTTTCTGTGCATGTGTTGGGTTCACGCATACGCGTAATATCCCTATCACTTCTATAGATGCGTGCGCTTGCCCGGGACAATTGCGAGAAACGTGATTCTAGTAGCACGGCTTTAAGCGGCAGGCTTCCGAGAAATGTTTCGTCTAGCTAGGAGGAACGTGTCCCTGCTATGAGCAACATTTTAAAACTTTCCTGAAAATGTTCCAACTGGAGACGTGTTCCTTGAACTTTCAACCAATCAGACGAAAGTTCTGCTTCTGAAGGATCATGGGTAACTTTCAATATGGCGATAGCTTTCACTGTGAAGTGATGGACGGTGGAAATAGAGGCCGATTTAATTATTGCTGTTTTGTTGTAATACAACTTCCTGAGTCATTTTTTAAATGTTTATATATTCATTAAATATATAATCGTGGAAATTTCAGAGTTGACAGTATTTTACGACGTTCTTGCAGTTCGGATTTGTTTACAAATTGTTCATCGCCAAATTTAATTCAAGTTGAATAATTTTTTAAAATCTGTTTGTATATACGCGGCTTTTCTCCTAATTACTTATCTTTTAAATTGTTAATTGCATAATCAGTGACACATTTTAAACAGCATAAAAGATGTATAAAAAAAGAAAAACATAGCTTATGTAATAATGAGAATACTTATTAAATTTGTCTATTATTTTCATGTCATTAATGAAATACTTTTTGGATTATAAATACATTAGGAACTATACTTTTGTTGTAAATGCTACATATTGAAACATTGGAAATTTATGGATTTATTATTATGCATGATGAAAAACATTTGTATATACATTCATTAATATAAATCTTATTCATTACATTAATACTAATAAATATATATTAACAACTTCTAAACCATCGCATCTCTCTATCTGTTTTGTAAATATATGACTTATTAGATGTGTATATATATATGTATGTATGAATACAAAAATGAACATTGCCAAGAAGTTTATTTGAAGTTGCTTTTAATTCAGATAACGATTATGTAATTGGCAGCAACTATAGTTATCAGTTCTTTGCAAATTATTATGGGTATGTAATAATCAGTTGAAAAATAATGAGTATTTGAGTACTAAAGAGTGTACACATTATGTTATTGGGTAAATTCATAATTATATCATACGTATGATCTACATAATAAAAACATGACTAATAAATAATAAGAAATGTAACATCATTTATAACATTTGATTACTTAAAACAGTGCACAACTGATTATCACCTTCATGTCTGTTTACATAATGAATTGCACTTTCAAATTAAGTGCACGGGCCTACTAGTGGCCGAAGGTTTGTTGAGCACTGGTAGTTCTGTCTCGGGTTAGAATGCCGCGAACGGGCTGGCTACATGGACGTTTCCCCTTGGTTTGCCCCATTTGTAACTGGTATACGAGCCAGTTTTTAAAAAATCTTCTACAAAGGGATCCCCTGTTGTTATCCCTCAATGCTTTGCGGTAATCACATAAAACAAACTGCGTCTACCAGCGGCCGAGCGGTAAAGTCGCTGAACACTGGTAGTTCGGTCTGAGGTGCGAATCCCGCGAACGGAGCTGGCTGCAGTGGGCGCTTTTCGTGGTTTTCTCCATGTGTAACCGTGTATACGGAGCCAGTTTCCCTTAGAAACGTCCTCCACGAAGGCATCCCTTCCACCTTAGGCAGATAGCCCTAGTGTGCTTTGCTGTAATCTCAATAAACCAAACCATAAAACAAACTCATGATGTGAACACCTAATTTCTAGAGTTGGTATAATTAATGTGTTTTTTTAGGTATATTACTGAGTGTTTCTATGGGACAGTAACAACTCGCACATGTTTGATTGCTCATGTATTCATATGCTTTTATTTGATCTTCATTTTGCTGAATAGTATCTGCTGGCTGTGAGAAGGTAAATATCAGCCATATAGATTTTTGTCATAGAAGTTTTTTTTTTTTTTTTTTTTTTTTTTTTTGTTTGTTTGTTTGTTTGAATGGACAGAACAGTAATTATGAGCTGTAAAGTTAGTCAGAAAATGCTTTCACCAGGTCACAAATTTTCCAGTGAGCCATCAAATTTTCATTGAAATGCAGACAACAGAAAATACACATAAGCGATGTGTGATAAATAGACTTATCCAGCACATATTTTTAAACTATTCTTAGTTTATACAGAATTTGGCTATTACTGATGTAATTGATTGCTATAACCAGAAGTGTGTTTATCTGTTACATGAAGTGCCAGAGTGGAGATCAAAATGATTAAATTGATAGCAATCACCTTTCTATTATCTTCCATTACTAACAATAAAGTTTAAAACGAAAAGCATGTGAGCGGTACAAAACACGAAGAAGCGAATGTCACTTGAAAGGAAACGTCATTTTCGCCAATCTGAGCGATAACTGATTCTTGTTTGGCTTTCAGCCTGTTTACCAAGTGAAGATGGTAACCCTATTTCGCCAAAGGCCGTTTCTCAGAACTGTTGCTGCAAACGTTTTGTTCCGGCAACAAACAGCTAATGTGATAACGCTTTAAGACCTTTACGGCTACGAATATGTTTGTGCGCATGCACGTGTAATGTGTAACGGAGGTAAGCTAAAATTATCTAATTCAGTTAATGTTGCAGATTGCATTGTTCCTTAATCTACGAATTGGATCCGGCTTATTATTTTTTGCAGACTGTTAGAGCAATTTCATAAAAGTAAGCTTGAACTTTCGATTATGTCAAATAGAATTTCCAATATATATTTACTAATATCTAATTTGTATCTACAAAGCGAAAGTATGTTTTGAAATCCGAAATCTGTTTATCAATTTCACTCTGCGGATTGGAAGTTGATCTGTCAGCACTATCCTTATCTTCAGGGCAGATGTTTTTATTTTATTTGGCTAATAATTCCTTACTAAGTGTAGTATTTCATCTCGATGTACTCCGTCTTTGATATAATTTAAATCAAGTTCCTCGTCATTATAATTCGCTTCGGATAGTGAAGAAAATGACCCAGAGGTTATTGAAAACAAAAACATTTTGATTGACAAATTAGTCGGTCACACAGCAATTCTCAACACAGCAATTATAGGACTTGAACAGCGGAGCTTTGTAACTAAACAAGAAATTATGTCTGTTTAATAGAATTAAAGAGAAAGTATTATCACATGAAATGAAGCAACTTACATTGAAAGAAATGTTTAATAAAGTAAACAAATAAATATTAAGCTTTTTCTTTTTGTAAATTTTGATACCCTTTAGATCATAATTGTTCTTTATTTCATAAATTACGGTTTCATATTTTTAATTTTGTAATTTCTGCATGCCATCTTACCAGATTTAAACTGATGATCTATAATCCGGAAAAATCATAAATCCGGAATCGCTGAAGCCCCGACGAGTCCGGATTAACGACTTTTGACTGTATGATGAATGAGTAATTTTCTGACACTAATGATAGTGATGATATTTCTATAAAATTGGAAAGTGATGGTTATAGCGATTCTTCTTTTACGGATATACTATAAATCACATCGTGTATGTCTTGTACATCTCGATGAACACATATTCAGATCTGAAAAACCTTTCGATTTTGCGAGAGAACCAAATATTAAGGCTGTACTCTTATATGCACCCTAAGATCACCAAATGTGGCAATATGTGTTCTGCGCTGGTTTTTGGCACAATAGCATGTTGTATGGCAACACTTTTGACATTGAAAACTCTTGCTGGAGTGGTTTAATTGCTCGCTGGTTTGTGTTGGGTTTTGAACTGGTATATGTTGCAATGATAGACGTGGTGGCAAGTTTTCAGTCGCTAATTTTAGATTGTGTGGAAATTAAATTTAGTATTAAAAAGGATGATGTTGGAGTTGTTAATGAGTCTTTTGTTCAGAGTTGTGTTTTTGGAATTGTGGGACTTTTAAAATGGAGTCCAAAATGCGGAGCTGCTATCAGAACTCGTACAAAGAAGGGCATTTCTGATAGTTCTTGTGTGGATTTGCAGTTAAATGCTTGCTGGTAAAGTATGTGGCTATCAGTGGAGTTTAAGATTTAGATTGTGGTTTTCATATAGTAAGTTAACTTTGGAGGAAGTTTTTATCATTACCTTCGAAATTTTGAATCACAGAAAGACATGTGATATAGCAAAATCGTGGCACTTTTGTTCACAGATGTTGTGTGACTGGCAAAATTTTATTAACGAATGTATTATGGTAAGTGCATTTTATTTTGTAGAATGTTATGTTCATTGTTTTTTTTACTATGAATTTCTGTTGTTATTGTTGTTTTTTGAATTGTTTGTAATTTTAGTTATTTTAGCTTATTTTGTTGATTTGTGCTCAATGCCTGGATTGTGCAATTCGTAGATGTTTTTGTAAGCTTAAACAGGATGCTGTGTACATGGTATTCTTTGAAATTTATTGTTTATTTATTAAAGCAAGGTGTACGTAGTTCATAGATTCGTTCGTTGCCTAGATTGTGCGATTCGTACATGTTTTTTAAAGTTAAAACATATCGCTGTGTACATGGATTCTTGTCAAATATTTTTGGTTAGAAAGTTTACATTTTTGCTTCTTCTTCTTCTTTTTTTTTTTTTTTTTTTTTTTTTTTTTTTTTCCCCTTCCCTTCAGATTTTTAGCTTAAATTGTGTGTTTAAAACATAGTTTTTGCATGTGCAAAAACTACGTTTTTGGAGACATTTTAGGCTTAAAGTTCGAAGTGTAGACAAAAAATTTAAACAGTAATACGGCAGCGTAGAAATTTGGCAACCTGAGGGTGCATATAAGAGTAGTTCCAATATTAATGTTAGAAGTGCTATCAAATGAACTGATTTTTTACTTTTTACTTTTTTTAAATAATGATGCTATAAAATGCATTGTAAAAGAAAAAAACAGTTTTGCACATAATTATCTTAAGAGTTACTAACTTCTGTCTGTTTCTTTAAAATCAGTGAAATTTTCAGACATGATACTGAAGCAAAAGAAAATATTTTGGGGTTTGATTATTTTGATGGGAATAATCAAGAAGCCTAATATTCTTTTTAAATATTGTTTCCTTTTTCATTGTTTTCGTGGTGTTTTATTTTCCCTTTATGAAAGAGATTTTTAAGAATTTTAATTTTGTTAATAAAATATAACAAAATGAAATGTATGATTGTGTGGCTATTTTTCCCATATATATTTATTTGAGGAAAGCCAAAAATGGTATTATTTTAAAGAACTTTTAAGAAAAATATAAGGATAAAATTTTTTAATTAATTATAATTACTACCTGTGTTTTCCTGTCATAATGTGCCTCAAATTATAGCAAATAGACAACAAATCTAATTCATGTGACCTTTTTTCTGAAGTTAGGCTTAGTAGTATAAATTGCTTATCCCTACAAGACATTGCATCCTGTTCATATGCCACCCTGAGGCTCTGTTCAAATGGTGGTATAAATGTCATAGAAGCATAATGATAAGGCATAAAATGTGGGGCACTGCAACTATGGAAGCAACAGTTGTGAATATGACTCAACTTTCAGTAATATACTGATAAGCCAGTGTATTATTGTTGTTAATTTATATGCTATCTGTTGCCTAAATTTCCTAAACCTAATTGCGAATGGGCTAGCTGCATGAGCATTTACGTGTTTTCCCCATGTGTAGTCTGTATACGAACCATTTCCATTAGAATGTCCTCCTCATAGGTAGATAGCCCTCGAGTGCTTTGCCATTGTCAAATAAACCAAACCTATACCTAATTTGTAATATTTATTTATATTAATTAATTATATATATTTTTTTTTAGCTTGGAGTCTGATCCTCTTCAGGAGAACAGTGATGACAAATTTGTGCATCTTGGCTCACCTTTAGTTACTGAAAGGGAAGATCAACAAAGGCTAATCCATTACCATCTGGAAGAAAAATTTTCAATATGTCTTCTGTGATAATGCAGGCTAGAAGGTTAGAGCAGCATTCTCTAAATTGTAAATTTAGAGGCTCATTTGTTTTTGACAAAATGATTTGATGTGGTCTTTCACTACATATAACTATATGCAATAAAAGTTTATGTGGGGAAATGGCAACAATTTGTTCTGACCTGAAGAAAAGTAGCCTAAATCAGCTTGCAGCATTAGGTCACTTATCTACTGGCAGTGGATTTTTGCACGAGAAGGAAAAGTTCAGCATCATGGAAATTCCATATATGAGCAATTCTACCTTTGCATCTTGTGAGTGATGAGAAACTTTTTTATGAAACATGTATTTATAAAGGCATTGAAGTAAGACAGAAGGCATTGGTTGTGTCTTTTTTCTTTTTTTCAAACTGCCCTCTTTTAAAATGTATAAAGATATTTGGACATTTCATACCGAAAAAAAATTGCAAACTATTTTGTGGGAGATTATTTGTATTCAAAATTATAATTTGGTACAGTATTTTCTGCAAGATTGTATATCATTTTATAAATATTTTCTTAGTTTCCGTATTGTGAAATTTGTTTTGAAAGGGAAGATTTTCAATTTTTCAGTTTCAAACATTCATGGAATTTTTCCCCCCTTTAATCATTTTGTTGACAATGATTTAAAGAGAGGTTCATGAATGTGTGGAGTAAATTCAAATGAAATATGAAAGACATATATTTTTATTCATATTTTTTCCAGCTATGAATAACTATATAATTTAATCATTTTCCAGGCTGATTGATTTCAGGTATTTTTTTCATATGTGTACTGAAGTCTTTGCTAATATTTTTGCTTATTTATTAAATTTTTCCCCATTGTTTAATATGAATATATTTTCTGATGTTATTTTGTTCTTTAAGTTTAAAAAATACTGAATGCTACCAAAGAAGATTTATGATGTTTATTTGCATAAAATCTAAACATTGTATGTAGCTGCAGTAAAAGCATTAAAATATAATAATTAATAAATCCTGTCTAAAACATGTGTTGAAAAGCTTCTTTTGCAATATCTCAGATGTTCAGATCCTTGTTCATTATTGCTCAAGATCTTCAAAAAGTCAGTGTGCATTAGCATTTCAAATTTATTACTCTGTTTCATACAGACAGTGTTAAAACTGGTTTTCCTGGATACCCAGATATATTTATAACATGGGCACTTTTGTATATTGGCCAAGACTTTCCTCAGAACATATTAGGTAATTTAATGTTTTTCATGATAGCTTGAAAGCTTTAGTGCAGACCATTTATATGCAAATTTTCCTTCCATGTTTCCCTTAGAAAAAAAGGGCCTTTTTCCATTTTGCCAGCGCAAACGATAAAGTCGCCAATAATGGTACAACTGATGTCAAACGGAATATCTTCGCTGGTAATCTTTTACCGATCATTTTCAAAACAAGTCGCAGCCATTTATCAGATTGATTGTTTCTTTCAATACTGGCATACAATTACATAGAATTTTTACTAGTTAAATTTTATGCCCTAAGACCATTCGCGGTAATTAATATTAGGATGCAATCACACCACTCACTCGAAGGCGAAAATATAGAAAAGGCAAAATCAAGGGTTAAATTCATTAAATCTAATGAGAATGCACTAGCGAAGTAAAGCACTGCAGTTTTACATAATTTCTGAGTAAGCTATTCATACGAATTGAAATAATTCTTGCGTTTAAACTTGTATTCCATATAAGATTTAATTTAAGATTTAACTTGAAATTGATATAGATAATTAATGAGAGAATTAGATTTTTGTAGCATTGTTTACGTGAGATAAGATCACGCGGGGTCACGTGATACGAACCGGCGAATCAGGATGTTGAACCATGAAAACATGGTAAATTCTTAAATTAATGAATTTTTACATATTAGCTTTTTACAAAATTTTAAACCATATTAAAATATTTATGCCTTCAAAATAAAAAATTCTTAGAACTAACATTTGTTAGCATTTTTTACATGTATACTGTATGCTGTCACCAAGAAAGTCTGCTTGGCGAGATTTGCGCCAGCAAAACGGAAGAGTACCCAAAAAAGATTAGGTCAGAAAGCTAGGCATAGTCTTATGGAAGTGTTATTTCCACTGTATCATAGTTATTTGTATTAGCATTACTATATTTACTGCATTTGCAGCCCAGATGAGAAAGTGACTCCGATTGCCGTATCAATGGGCCTGGGTTTGAATCCCGGAGAAAGCATGGATGTAATTTGACCATCTCCTCATAGGAGGCAATGATAGCCCATCTATTAGGTGCCTTTATTATAAAATTACCACCATTTACGTTCTTAGTAGTAGTAGCAGCCAACATCTGTAGATGGTTACAACCCGCCATTGGAATTATTTGATTACTTAACAAATAATTATATTTATTATACTTGATATTGGAGTGGCAATGCCATATTTGTATCATGTAACCATTGCTGAAAATGTTTGATAGATTTAAAGGATGTATTTCAGGTATATAGCTGCCTATTCATCCAGTTTTTCAACATGTCTCCTGGAAGATTCCGAAATCTCTGTTTTGAATTGATGAAACATAAAGTGTGCAGATTCCATTCCCTATTCCTACAAATACTCAACATAACTTTTTAGTTAAATATTATTTGATATGAATGGTCTTAATCTACTGTAGACATCTGTAGAACATTTTATGAAAATTCAATGTTTAATCAATTAAAATTTGTGTATAATTTTGTTCTACATCATTATATGGTACAATACTGAATTTATGTGTTATTTTATGTATCTTAATTATTAATTTTATTTTCCTCATAAATAAAACTACTTCAATAAGTAAAAGCTTTCCTTGCTTACTTAAAATGTTTTCAATGTAAAAGTGTAAGAGCATTATAAAATGAAATTATGCTGAAAACATAAAGTTTAGAATATCTAATTAAATATTAATATGTTTTAGAGGTACAAGGGGACAAGGCATTAGAATCTTACTATTGGTTACACGGGTATAATCCCAACACACTAGATGTGCAGCTCAGTTTCTATGGAGAGTACCCTTGAGGACAATCCAAGGGTCCTCTGCAACAAAACCATTCAAGAGACCTTTCAGCATGCCACTTTCTTTGGAATTTAAATTCGTATCAATATGTAATCTGTATCCATTTCACTAATTACTGTATCAATCAGGGCAGCCAGATGCCATTTATCAGCAATACAATGCTTATCTACATGCTGCACGACTCTCCCAACAATGTCTCCAAGGATATGATGTACTCCCATGGCCTGCAGGTCACCAGACCTCTCACCAATAGAGCATGTTTATATTTGATAACTAAATATTATTTACATACAGTCCATTAAAAAAGTATTCTTACACCTAGAAACATTTTTCAGTCTTGATGAAACTTGATAGAAGCCACGGGGTGACAAAAGTGTTTAAGATTAGATAGCAGTTTAATTAATATTTATTAAGGAAACGTAGATTGGGATCGTATTTGCAAGATGTATGGACCTTTTAACATTGAATGCTATTCTAGAAAACTGACCAGCCAGATCCATTGTAATTGCTCACCAAATGTATATAATTTGCAAATTGTCTGTAACCAGTATTTTGAGATATGCCTTATATGTTCATTTTGAGAAAAAATCTGAAGATCTGCCAGGCTTAGATAGGGTTGGAACTTTATGTAAACATTACCTAGAGCGAATAAACATTTACTTTCTTAAACATGGTGTTGCAGCCTTTAATTGTAATTGCGCCAAACTTGGTAGTCATGCACTTCAAATTTGAACGCCTCCAACTAGGTGGGAAATATGTTAGTTTGTTCGTCTGCTGGCACCAAGTTGAATCTGTCAATTTTCGAGAACTTTGGTTCTAAGTAACACATATATCTGTATCACATATATTGTTTTTGTGTTTTTAATAAAACTAAGAAAAGCTATTATTGCCTCAGCCTATATAATACAGTCCACAATTAGACAAAAATAGATGGCTTCTCACAAATGTAATAGCATGAGCAAAACAGTAGTTTATAGGTTGTCAACATATTATATAGCCATTAAGTAAAGTGTTGTGAATGAGAAAAATAACTGTAAGTAGCTCATTGAGTTACTTACATCACCTAATCCCATGCTGTGTTGGGTATAAACTTCTCCATAAGGATGTGAATTCACTCCCTCTGGTCAGGTTTCTTCTGTTTATGAATTCTATGGCCATTCAAATTGAACAAAAACTATGATTTGTTACTAAACATAATAAGGTTCCTACTTGAAATATTTTGATCTTCCTGAGGTAAACTTTGTTGTCATGTCCAAGTGTTAGTGGTGTATAACAAAATGGCCCAGGCTTTGCCAGCCTTCATTCCAGGATGCTTTATGACACTGTATGTTCAGAAGACATACTGAGTGATAAACGAATTTGACTGACAGCTGTCAGTTTCACATAATCTTTCCAAGAAGCTGTTATCCTAGACCTGTTGGTCTTTAATGAAATTATGGATGCCTTATTGAATTCACTGGTAACATTGCCTGAGTGTATCATCATTCTAAACTTTGTGCTGGATGATGCATTAGTATAGCCCATCTACTTCCTTTGAGATGACAGTATTGCTTTTGTCAAAATTTGTCCTTCGGTATACTGTCATCGCAGTTTGTTAATACAAACAACACTACCATATCAGGTCATTTTAATTCATTATCATATTTTACATATTACAGTTATCAGAGTACTAACATGTGTTGAGCAAAAACTGTTCTACGTATTGTAAAAGTTATTCAGTTCATCTTTGAAATCAGTATGCAGATACTGTCTGTTAAAGGGTTTTGTGTGTGTGTGTGATGGACTCTGTACATGTACTAAATTGAGCTTATGTTTGTTTGTGCCCTTGCAGTAAATGATGGTCAGCCAAAATAAGATTGTTTTATTTTTTAAAAAAAAAATCTTTCTGAATTTAGTGCATAATAAATATAAAGCATTTGTATTCAGTATTTAAAAATATCTGATTATAAATTTTATACAAAAACATTAAGTGATTTGATGTTTGATTAGTAATAATGCTGGTAATTAATCTTGTTTTTTATTCCGAATAAATATTTTTTAACAAAATCTAATAGTTATGTTGGGCAGATAGAGTTTCTCACTTAGAAGGTAAAATTCTGAAATTTAAAGGAAAAGAAAATAAAAAAATTTTTCTCCAAAATGTAGAGAATGCCTGCATCTGTGTTTATATGTTTCTCGCATATTTTTCGTGCTTTAAACAAGTCTTAATATAAAATAGCATTTTTATGATGTACAAGAAAAGTGATGATATTACTCACTTTTCTTTTATATTATGTAAAAATAGAAATTGGTATTCATTTAGCAAAACAATGTTAGAATCAAATATCAAATTAAAAGGCACTAAGCTGGTGGGAGAATATCATTTTAATTAGTTTTTATTTTAAATTGTCTTCTTGTACTATATTTTCCTATTAAAAGAACTATGACAGAATCCTTCAGCAATATTTAAAGTTTCACACATCAGACTGGGAGATTAAGTTTTCCACTTTTGATGATTAAGTGCAGCAGCATTTTAACAAGGAAGCACCGTCCATCGATTTAAATCTTTAACAATTTTGTTGCATTGGTAAATATTTTCTATTCTCATTTTATTGCTTTCTTATATTTAGACATACCATTAGCAAAGAAGGTAAAGCTGCATAACACTGTGCAGCCAACCATAGATGCATGCTGACTTTCACTGTTTCTTGACCATAAGTGCATCCAAACATGTGACAATTCATTGCCTAACTTGAGATCCTTAAACCATAATAAATGAACTGAAATTGTTATTGTTAAAGGGAATTAGGGAAATGATTTATGATGAAGGATTTAATACTAAAATTCATCTATGTCTAGAACATCTCATTTTACAAATTAACTTTTCAGCTTTAATTACCATTTTAAAGGAATTTATATCAAAATATAGTTATTATTAACTAAACTTGAAGTAGCAAATTCAAATAGCAAGATTAAACTTGACATCAGAATTTAAGAAATTTATCAAATCAAAGGGGACTGAAAGAATTATAAAATACCCTATGAGTTTTAATTGTGATAATTTTAAATTATTTTTTATAGTAACTGCAATTATTTTTAAAATAATATGCGCACACATTACATATTGACTGTGATTTTTGCTGTTGGTCCAAGTGTGTGTGGCTATAATTAAAGTAACAAATCTTCTTGCTCTTGTAACACCACTTTTTTTAACAGAATGTAATACTTAAGATACTCCATTTTTAAATTTTAACAATATTTTATGTGGGTATTAACAAATTTGACTGTGTATATATAGCAAGCATAATATTTCTGTTGGACATTAAAATATAGCATACAATCAGTTACACCATAGGATAATTTAAAGATACTCATCTGTCTTTAATTTTAATGACCTTATGAATGCTCATATAATAGTGATCGTATATTCTCCAATACATACC